TCAGGAGCCTACACACAGGAATAGATTTGTCGGGATACGCAAATCCCTGGAAAAGAATAGACAATTAGTTTTTCAGGCGGACAAAGGAAGAGCCACTTTTCACTCATCAAAATATCCGCCCTATTTGGAAAATTTATTATATTCTTATCACAACTGCTATCCACCTTGGCCTCCTTTCTTTCGATCAGCTAATCCGACTCGGGCCTAATTTCCGGATCTCCCTAATGGTCCCATAGATCCGTTCCTTATCTTTCTGGTTGACCGATTTCTCTCAGTATTGTCCCAATGTGAGTTTTGCTCCAGGCGATATATCCTAAGGTCTTAGAAGCATGTTCACCCTCGCCTCACCTAAAAGAGTGTCTAGGCTCTGATTCCCATGCTTGCAGATATCAGGCATTGCCTTCACGGGTCGTCTCCTTGATTAAACCCGTGTAACCTGGACAAACTGTGGACGCATGCGGCATATCAAGTTGATTTCTAGTACATTTTAGCCATAACGTCGAATTTCTGTGACGGTTTGCTTATCCATCTGCCTAGCTCCCTGAGTGCCAGGCCCCCTGGTTTATTCGAATGGACATCCCTCACTGACAACGCCTTCGCTTGATTGCCGCAATTTTTCCTCCGGTTACCGATATATCTCTGATCTAGGCGCCTTCTTTTTGCGCGATTTGATGTATTCTTGTTTTCCCTGAGTTTGCTTAAACACTAAGCAAAGTTATTGCTAACTCCACATTCCTCAAATCTTTTGTTCATTAAATTTTTCTCCCCAAGTATGTGAATAGCCTCCCTAATCTTTTGCTTCTTTGTGTTTTCACTGTATGAGGCCCTACTCTCTGTTGCCTTCCAATTGATCTCGTTTCCAGTCTGTGAGATGTGTTCCACTAACTCTGATTTTTCGCTATCCATTTTCCTGCAGAGCCTTTGATGTTTCTTGATTCGTATGCTAATTTTTCTCCCTGTTTCATCAATATATTTCTGTTCGCAAGCACCGCATTATATACAATAAACTCATGAACAATCCAATTTGTCAACCCTTTCATGTTGTCTCGGTAGACTTATGAAAGTGTTGATATTTCTTTTATGGCGACCCGAATATTTCATTTCCCCAATATTATCCGTATTTTTTGAGTTAGTTTGCAGGAAAGAAGACAACTACTTTTGTGAATCAATCTCCGTCATTGCTGTTCTTTCGTAGTCCTCGTTCTACTATCTGCTTTTCAAGAACCGTATTTCTTCGTATTACTTATCTTGGGTTGCCGTTGCCGAGGAATATCCTAATCACTTTATCCAATTTTTAATCTCAGTATTTCATATCTGTTAATCGTAGGCTTCTGATGATCATGCTCCTTATTATTCTTATCAATATCCTGTGGTTTTGATGATACTTGAAATTGATTATTACCCTGGCGGATGACTTATTCCTGAGCAGTTTCTTCTTGAGCTTCCCATTAGAGCGAATCACTTCAACATCCAGGACAGGTAACCACTCATCATAAATCTGGTTTATATGGCTGGTCCGAGATGGAGAAGATGCTCTCGCGAGTGGGGTTGTGAGCCTAAACGGGCAGAAGTGGGTTGTCCTCGTTGTCGCAACTTGGTCTTATTTTCAGGGAGACCATGTAGAACGCACCTAGTCCGAAGTCGTCTGCATCGTAGTTGTCATGATGCCTAGCATCCAACGGTGGACTTGATACATGGCGGCGCCTGCAATCAGAACTATTTTGGCGAAACAGGGAGAAAAATTAGCACACGAATCAGGGAACATCAGAGGCTCTGCAGGAAAATGGACACCGAAAGATCAGAACTAGCGGAACACATCGCGCAGACTCGACACGAGATCAATTGGAAGGCAATAGAAAGAAGAGCTCCATACGGGGACAACACAAGGAAGCGCAAGATTAGGGAGGCCGTTGACATCCTTGCGGAGAACAATTTGATGAACAGAAGATTGCAGCAAGGTAGAGTTAGCGACAACTTTGCCTGCTGCATAAGCAAACTCGGGGAACACAAGCAAGACCAGCGAAAAGGAGACGCCTGGATCAAGGATCTACTACAAACAAAAAGAAAAGGGATCGCGAGGGAGAAAATGGGGGGAAGGGGTTTTCTGAAATACAGCGAGTGATGCCCATTTCGAATAAACCACTACAACTTTAGGGGCCTGGCAGTCAGGAC